TGCCAGCTTGTGAATTCTTGTAACAAGTGCTTTCTTATTGCTTGAAAAGTAGAAAGCAGTAACAATCTATTATGCCTTCACGACAAGCAGTTCTATATTTTCATCCTTCATCGAGTAAATCTTCTTCATTGTTCTGATTTACTTTTAGCACATATTGAGGAGCCGCGCAATGAACCATTTCTGAGCTATAATTCGACTTTATGCAGCACAATATTTTCAATTATACTCCTGAAAGTGCTGAAGATTATTTTTTTCTTGAAGTTTTTTGAAAAATATCATACTACACTCTCATACTCAAAAATATATAACAAAATACAAATATAAAACTATTATTTTCTAACCTCATTTTTCTGAATTTGCTACATTTATACAGACTAAGCTTAATAAGCCTAATGTTCTTTCATTGAAAGCTGATGAATCTCCAAAGGATTCCGTTTTTGTTGCATCGGTTCTTGGTCAAAGGAGTACTCTTGGGATTCTTAAGTACTGAAATATATCAATTATGAGAGAATCAAGCTTATAACAGAATAAATATAATTAATAATCACCTTAAAACAGCAACTCAATATTTCTTAATTTAAGATTCTTACAGTGAGTACAGCTTCACTCGATGCTAGTATCCAATGTGTGCCATTTTCTTAATCCGCTTCACACCTTGAAGCAATAAACTCATTTTTACAATGAATTTGTTTTCCCTACAATAAAACATGCATCATTATAACTAATTGAGAGATATTTGACGAAAATAATAATAAAACTGAATGTATCTGAAGAAAATGAATCTTAAACCCTACCCGAAAATAATGAAGGAATCAAATTTATAATCGCTTAATATTTCAACTTGTTTCACTACGTTGAAAAAAACTGCTGAGTAAAATTGATATAACGTTAATTAATACTTATATACTTGGTCTTAATCAAAATAAGAAAAATTGTAGAACAAAGTCCATTTAATAGAACCAACTAACCTACCACTGTCTAAATAAACAGGTTTGACTGTTGATAGTTCTATATTGGATAAAACTGTCGATTCATGAGTTCGTCCTCAACAATGACATGAATGTGCAAAGCAGACCTTCCACCCGTTACCCCTCCCAATCGTCACATAATAATGCATCTCATAGAAGACATTTTGAAAATAATTCAGATATTTGTCTAAATTCAAGCCTGCTTCAAAAAGTTATCACTTTTGAAGAAAACTCAAGTGATAACTCTTACAATAATATCACGAAAAGCAATAATTACAATATTAACTTGAAAAACAAATTCGACATTCAATATGCTACTTTCAGAAACTCATCTGCTTACAATTTTCTTTTTTAGCAGTAACCAAGTCAACTTGCTTAAATAATTGGCTCCATGAAAGACATTTATAACTATCTTACTTCCCATTAAAGTTCAACTTTTTAGGTCGAATCTCATTCTTCAAGCATCATAAATCTGTAAATTCAATAAAAACAACCAAGAGAAAAAGATGAATGCCAAGGTAAGTCGCACTCGATGTGCGATACCAACAATACAAAATATACATTTTCTTTAGTGTTAAAATACGGTTAATGCTTTCAACTAAGCAAAATCAAGTTTCAATTTTTTAAATTTTAACGCTGAAAAAGAACTAAATAAAAAGAAAATTGTGAACAAACATTAATGTTCCAAACAACAAACACCAAAATTTTTCACTCATATAAATTACAAATAATACAATGTATGCAAACAAATCAGAACACTGGTTTACAATTTTAATTAAATGAGAAGTTACTTAATTGTAATGCTGATCCTTCCATAACTTTATAGCTTATTAGTGCCTTCTCATTATTTTAAAAATAAAAAATAACGTCTATCCTGCATCTGTAGCAAATTTTACTGCACTATTCTTCCAACTCATTTCATCGAGCTTGATTTACTTCGAGGTCACTTCACTGATTTGCTTCCAAGTCTACTGAACGATGCAGAAATCCACTGCTAAATCATAAATCGTTCTTCTCCTCGCCCTTTCAGACTGCCAACCATATTTGCGTCTAAAATAAGTAGTAAAAGATTTTATCTAAGCACTCAATTTCCTAAATTTTTTGTTTCATTAATTTCTCTTTTCGAAAAAAGTGAAAAGTGCCACAATTTTCACATTTAAAAAAACATATAACAATAACTCAAAAATTAATTCCCAACCATAAATCTTTTGAATTCGACACAAAGCTGTTGCACAACATTCGAACTAGCTTCACTCATTCTATTTCAAGCTAACTGTTTTTCAGCAGTTCTCATGCACTGAAAGTTACTAATTATGAGATAAGGTTATAATAGAAAGGATAAAGCAACCTTTCAAAATTTTGTAGTTTAAAATAAAAATAAAAGAAATAAAATGATTAATCAATAACAGAAACTTCACGTTTTTCGCTTCAAAATCGATTTAAAGTTGAAGTAAGAACTAACAATGATTCGAGCTTCACACGAGATCAGCACAGAATGAGTGCCATTTTTAAATCACTTCCTGAAGCCCTTCTCATTGGTCTGTTGAGATATTGTAAGACTGGAGCAAGTCCAAAGATGTAGGCCCAAGTACGAACTGCAGTAATGATGATATGCACTTAGAAAGCTGGAATTATCGCGGCTGCTGGCATCAGTCTTGCCTTTCTTTAGCGGGTTTAAACTGTACCTAATCTGATAGCTTGCCTCGAACAGCACGATCATTATTTATCGTACTACCTCCTCATGTCGAGAGTGAGTACTTTGCGCCTTTTTCAGGTGTGGTAGCCGTTTCTCACCGAGGTTCAGCCTTTATTTATCGTTACTCGTCAGAATCATTGTAGACACGAAGCATTACTGAGGATTGATAAAGTAGACACTTGTGAGATCCATCGTCGTGCAAAACCGCACGATTTGCTCTAGCTATACAACATCACTTTAGGGGCTCGCTTACAAACCCACAAACCACACCATTTCTTTCTTTGCAGTGGATGTGCTCATTCCTCAAGTTCGAACTCGGGTGATTTTTTGGCTTTGAAATATGCACAGTATCCACGATGAATAAGTCAACATTGAATACTTTATAGCTAGTGCAGTGAGCCTTTCGTGGATTCTGAAATAAATATCACATTATTTACTAGCATTCAATTGTAAATATATTCAACGACAGCCTGAAATCAATAAAGAAAAAACCATGTCTTTCCTAAAAAAATAACTGGCAGTATGAACGGAAGGATACGTTTAACAACTTTAGCGAAATAGCAGCTATTATCTTCTATAACTTCTAGAAAAATAACTGATCTACTGGATGACGTGTATGCATATTATGACGTGTATAATAATATGTATGCAGTTGCTATTTCGCTAGAAGTTGCAAAGATAAAATATGTATTTTTCATAGTTTGCACAAGAATAACTAATATGTTAGATGATGTCATGTATATTGTTATTAGTGTATATATGCATACTAACTACACATTTATGTTAAATAAACAATCTAGAGATATGTAGTCTCATGTAGATCAAATATTCCTCTCCCCAAATGTATCCATAAGTAAGAGCATTCATTCCATTTATTACAACTATTGTGCAAAGTATGTCCTTTCAGTAAGGGGAGTCCATTGGGTCGGGTCTGTCAACAATTATAATTTTCAAGCCTGTTTATTTGATATCCATTTCTAGATTGAATGTAAAGCAATCTTTTTAGTATCTTACTGCATTCTTATACATATTTTAATAACAATTTTGTAATTGTTGTCATTTCATTTAAAACATTTGTTGCTCGAAATACTGCATTGTTCTGTTGTAAGCATTTTGTTCCTGCAAATTGTGAATAAATTTGTTTTGTTTTCATCTGAGTTGTGTTTGTTTGTTACATTTGAAGGACGAGAGGATTACGAATGATTACGCATACACACACACACATACACGCACACACACACACACACGGGCGTACTATAATTTTTTGTCTGAATGTAGTGCGAGAGATTGATTCAGCAGCACATCAGATCATATTTTGTTGGCAACAAGGTAATACAAAAATGTAGCATCTGAATATATAAGTAAGAATTAAGTCATTTAAAAAATGTATCGATTCTATCAATTGTAAAATTACATTGAGATTTCAGAATGTCCAGTGAGATTTGCAATGCTATGCTTCAAGTATTCAGTTCTTATATACTAAGCAAAGTGATATTTAGTTTTTTGAATGACTTTTCCGTTTCAATTTCATGAATAAAAAAGAAGTTTGCTCTATCAAAGCTGCCTGCGCCTCCATCTGATTTACAGATTTGGTCTTGCGATAAATCTGAATTTATGAAAGTTGAAACACATTTGAAAGCCTTTATAGTAAAAAGAGCAAATTCTGATAGTAATAATAATAATATAAAACTCATCTCACGATAAAAGATGAACTTTTTCGTAAACATTTATGGTAAACGTAGCTAAGGGCATTTAGCACCATATATTACAAACTTCAACCAAATATAGAACCCCAAAAATCAAGCTGTTACACTGCAGCACCATAAAATCATCTGCTTTTTGTTTGCCTACCATAGTAGTTCATTTCTATGAGTTTCGTACAGCCGCGACAAACCTTACATTAGATAAGTTAGTGTGGACATGTTGGTCATGTCCACACTAACATATGTGAAGTGCCATTCAATATGACTACTTAGAAACAATCTTGCAATAGTTAAGCTGACGGATTAGTATTATTTGTTAGTTTATGTACATGAATGGCACTTCAAATACGTATGATCATGCTAAAGGTCACAAAAAAATTGATATTTTCGTTTGCAATGGAAAAAACACTTCGAAGCATAAATAATACAGTACTATTACTATGCTTTATAATTTTTTCCGCTTTTTTATTCCTGTTTTTCATTCTTCTAGTACTGCAACTGCTTTGTCAATGCATTTGATACAGAAAACAAAGAATCATTTATGGCTCAATACCAATATCAAATTAATTAGCTATATTGATAACAATATGTCGTAAAACGTAACAACGACAATCACTTTCAAGTACCATAACTCTACCAATTTGCATTTTGTGTAGAAGCACCCCATTCTTGCTGTTGGGCAGTATCAAGTTGTACAGCTCGCTCTGTTTCCTGCGCCCAATCACTAACTGGTTCTACCATACTGAAGTCTAACTTCTTTGTCGGCTCAACACCACCAATTGGCTGATACTGAAAACTTATTTTTAGACACAGATTAAACAAGATATATTATTATATAACTACTACCTAAAAAAATATACATATAGAAAGCATTAAAAGAGCAAAAGCAATGTAATCAGCTGTAGTAAGAAAAATGCTGAGAGATAAACTTAAAATTCAAATGTAAGAAGATACCACTCATCGAAGCTAAGAATGGATTAAACAAAAAAAATGAATGAAACGAAACAAATATCATCTCAACAGAGCTTACAACATCATCAATTTTAGTGACTTCTGGAGGCGGGACTCCTGGCCAGGTATCCTTTATTTCTCGAGTTTCAACTAATTCCTCCTTTTCCTGCTCATCTGGATCACGATAGAAATATAGGTCAGGCATGATTTCTTTATCATCAAGTACAAATCCCGTTTGTCGAGTCATTTTGCCTTTGATAAGCAGCACTTCACGCGCTAACAACCACCACATAAGCCCCACTGAATGTGAACCCTGCAAACATCATTTACAAACTACTTCACAGCACAAAAACATACACAATGCACACAACTCTAAAAACAAGCAGAATACAAACCTTATTATTGCAGGGTATAGCAATATCGATAAATTTCAATGGTGAATCAGTATTACAAAAGCTAATTGTTGGCACACCGACATATGATGCTTCTGTGACAGCTTGATGATCAACGCGCGGATCAGAAACAATTAATAAACGTGGTTCCTATAACAAAAAATACATCCCATCTTTACTTCAAAATAAATGAAAAACTCTCCAAGCACTTTACCATAAATATTAACTGCTGAAAAATGACACTTCAGTCTCAACCTTAAATTGTTTCTGGATCTGATTTGTCAAGCAACCAGGAGTGAAACGTCCAAAAATTGGTGTAGCACCAGTATGAGCAGCAAATTTCAGTAAAGCACGCTGTGCATAAGGACGTGCTGATACAACACAAACATCAGATGGATCATCAATAGCTGCAATTGCACGAGCAGCTAACAGCAGTTTCTCCCACGTTTTTCTCAGGTGAATAATATGAGTGCCTTCAAGTAATAATATGTCTGACTTCTTGTACATCATGGACAACAATTTTGATACAAAATATCAGACTACAAAAAAAACACACATTAAAATAATAAGTAACAGATATGACGATAATCATATATTAAAAGGATAAACAGAAAGCAAGAAAATAAAAAAATAAAAAAATAAAAACCATCAGCTCTTCGCTTCCATACATACTGCTCCATTTGGAAATCACAGTTTTCAGCACCAATATGAGCCTGGCATGCAAGAAGTTTCATCGCATCTTCTTCTTTCAAAGCAAACGGCTCTAACCCCGCCGACATTTTTACGATTTTTCTGCAATAATGTGCGCCTAAACGAATAAATTTATTCAACATCAATATGGTATTTCTTGATCAGTACAACACAGTCAGACCATTTCTGAATATAAAACTAATAATTACAAATGCTTCTATGAATTATTTAGGAAGTAATATTGCCCTAATCAAATGAAAATAAACACAAACCAACTTCACAACTAGACGTGACGTCAATATATGTTTTAGGTCGCGTTGTTAGAAATGTTGATCACAATGTTCAGTTGGTTTCTCGCACATATGCAAATTTGTGTCTCATAGAGCAATGTATTTGATATTCATATTTCAGAAATCCCAGAATTAGTAATCATAACAGATAACACTTTTAAATAGTTTCATTTTGTCATTCTCTATTATTTTCACTGGTGTAGTATAGCAAAACCAGTGGTATTTCCCTTGAAACTTTGCGAGACCGACATATAAGCAAATGTGAGTTCATAATTAGTTAAATAACAATTTAGAAAATAATAATTGAGATAAAAAATGCTATTATATGGAATAAAAGTTTTTGAGTAGAAGCAGGCAAAAGATGCTTAGCTGGGAGGGCATATTTCATGATGCGTAAAAATTTTGTGCTTTGATGCTTAAATTTTCATTGTTTCCAATTAAAATATAATCAGATTTTCAGTATTTGGGACTGATGCTTATGCGTCAGCTAGAATTGACACATTGTACGGGAACTCTCAGTATTTGACATTGGTATCAATTTTTAATCGTGGGTAGTTGGTTATTATGTCATGTTATCTCTTAATATACAGAAAATTGAAAGCAGCAAAAATTTATATATCCTTTTATGTCGATAAACTTGTAAAACTGAAGTGATTGGGAAGAATTTTTATTCCCGATAAATCACTGAGATTAGTTTTTTAGGTCTACTTGAGGTAAATGCAGAAGTCCAATTAGAATAAATGTTTATATGGAAGCTGAAGCTTTTGTGGACGGAACTGCCGTACATATGTTTCAGCTTCTAATCTCTTTATGCATGATAAATAGTTCTATTTTAGAAATGGTTAATGGGACTATGATTCTTCGGAGCTTCTTGAAGTCAAGATGTATGCACGAAAGCAGTAAAATGGTTTCTGTCTTAAGCATATGCTTTTAAATTATACCTTCTTTTGCCATAACTTTAACAAAAAAGGAATAGAATTTTGTAATGATCTCCCGTTTAGTATGTGTTGTAGATTAAGAATTTCATATAATTGCTTGAGCGGTCAGTTTGTCAATTTTACTCTTTGAGCAAAAACTCTAATGAAATATTTTCTGAGCAAAAATTTATCATTAATAGTATGTTATATTAAAATGATTGGTTATGTAGCAAAGCATGTAGTTCTTTAACTTTTATCAACGAAAATCAGTTATTATTACTTCACAAAAAAATTGTTTACTGTAAACAATCTTTCTAATTTTCAATAATGATTTCCTTTTAAGTTGTTTTCGGTTGCTACCAGGGATGACATTTTGGCAGAAAGAGTTAATGGTAAACAACTGATAACTTTAAATCGGCCAAAAGCTCTAAATACATTAAATTTAAGCATGGTGCGCAAGCTGTATCCAATACTAAAAGTTTGTTTTGTTTTTATACCATGTATATTTATTTCCAGTATTTTTTCCCCGATTTCTGAACTGTAAATGGAGAAAATTTTGCAACTTTTTATTATTTAATACGAAACTTTACTAATATGTTCGAGAATGCTGAAGATATTTCAAGATATTTAGCGATCATAAATAAAGCAAAAATTTCTTAGCAGCAAATTTAGTTGCCAAACATTTTCTAAATTCCTTATCTTTATTTTCAGAACTGCAATGATGACCCAGACGTTTTATTCATACTTATTAAAGGAGCTGGTAAACAAGCATTTTGTGCTGGTGGAGATGTTGTTGGTATGTCTATATGTGATTTCAGTTAATTGTTGCGCACCCTTATGAGTGCTGAAAAATATCTATTCCAAAAATTGCGGGTTCTTTTCTTTGCTCGGTTTAATTAATATCTTTTGTAGCTATATCTCGTTCTGCTCAAGCTAGTAGTCCTTCTAATACAGTGTACAGAGACTTTTTTCGTGAGGAATACATTATGAATCATCTTATTGGTACTTTAAAGGTGCCATACATTGCCATAATGGATGGCATCACTATGGGAGGAGTAAGTTTATATATGTATAATTTATTTTGTCATCGGAATTGTTTCATTTTCAATGATGTCAGATTTTCTATGTAAGTACTGCTTAACAAGCAAAAAAAACCAAGAAAGATAAGAAAAAGTTCTACCGATTTTTGTGTTCATTACTTCATAAATTTCAAATTACGAGATAAAAATTAAAATACTAGATGTGTCAAATTTAGCGTGACCATTAGCGGTTTTGAGTGATTTATAGGGTTGTGGCCTTTCAGTGCATGGAAAGTATAGAATAGCGACAGAAAATACAGTACTGTCAATGCCAGAAGCTGCTATCGGTCTTTTTCCTGATGTTGGGGGTATTGTTCTGATTATTTTTTGAGCTCAGTAAAACTTTTTCTTTTTTTATGGTGCTTAAAATAGTGCATAATATATTAAAGGTACACATTTTTTGTCGCGACTGCCTTATAGCTTGGGTCAGTTCATGGCTTTAACAGGATATCGAGTGACGGGTGCTGATGTATATCATATGGGCCTCGCAACTCATTATGTGAGACAATCATGTTTTTTTTCTGCCTTGTTCATAATTTAAAAGTTAATTAGAATGCAAACAAAATTTCTGTTCTTCAATCTCTGCAATAGTTTTGTAATTTACTATAAGTATATTGCCCAATTTTCAGGTTCCTTCTAAAAGACTGGAAGACCTTGAGACTGAGTTGGTCAACACAGATGTTAGATTGTTTTCTTCCGAAAAAATTGATCGCATTCTAAATAAATATCATGTCAGAGAGAATGAAATTCCCAAGTTTAGTCTAGTAAAGCGGCTTGCACAAATAGATTATATATTTGGAGGAAGTACGATAGAATCGATCTTCAAGAAACTGCGCAATGATACGGATTCTTTTGGCAAGAAACAGTTCACTATATTGAATAAAATGGTATGTTTTCAGTTCTTCGACAACGACTTCTAACTCCACAAATGTACAGAGAGTCTGTGCTACCACGATTTTTGAAATAGGTCAAGTCATGCATAATTTAGAGCCCACTATCGCTGAAAGTTATTTGCCGGCAGTTGCAAATTGGTTCGAAGATGCATTTTCCTGAAATTTTTACCATGGAATATCGTCTTTCACAGCGTTTCGTGCAGAACCACGACTTCCATGAGGGTTGTAGAGCAAGTATGACTTGTTCCATTGTATTGCAAGTTCTGTTTACATCTGCCAAAATACTGGCTTTCATGTTGTCTTTATTGCAGTTCTTATCGATAAAGATCATAAACCGCAGTGGAAACCGCCTAATATTGAAGAAGTTACGGATGATATAGTCGACAAGTACTTCACGCCTCTAATTGAAGATGATTTAATCATTACTGATGCATTTAAGGATAGAAAAGTGACCTCATAGCCACTGTATTCTATTTTTTATTCAGTATTACTGTTTTCTTTAGAGCTGAATTGCTATGAAAAATTTTTGGGATACTTGACTGTTATGCATTCATTTGGACTATACTTCTGCATAACAATAATGGTTGCAGTATTTATTAAAAATTCTCGTTTCATTCTTCTGAATAATATTAAATGTCGTCTTCATCTTTGTCTTCGTGGTTACCAGGTAGCAGATGACGACTGATCACAACGCAGTGTTTTATCTACAAATAATACAGCGTATGAGTTTTTCGAGAAGTAGGAGATTTTGCAATTTTTTGATGCTAAGTTTTCTGTGACGTGAGAAATCTAGTAAGTGAATATGATTTAGTATGGTTTTCAGTTATTGATGAGAGTATGAGCGTATTATGTAGAGACTATCCGGCGTTATAATAGAAGTGACAGCATTCAGAATAACAGCTCCTTTTGGATTTTTTTTAATTATATACGCATCGTAAATTACAATTTAATTAGCTATAATTTGAAAATTTAACTAGCTATAATTTAAATGCTGAAACTTTGATCTAGACATCCATTAAATGATCGCTTCGATCAAGAAAAAGTTATGCAATAGTATTGTGGCGAGAACAATCAATTATGGGAAAAATTATCTATTGCAACCAGTACTTCGCAGTGTTCACGAATATAATTTAAGCTACATCAAAAATAAAATCAGAAGACAAATTAGTACATTGAAAATTTTGCGCGGGCACCAGACATTTTCAACATAATAATTCAAAACAAGATGAAGGACGTAAAAAAGTGAAGATTAAACACAAAAATGGAGAATGGCCTCAGAATTACCAAATCTAGGCAGATGGATACATTGAGTTAAGAAAACCTGGAAACTAAACTAAAACACTAGTTACTGATTCAAAAATTTCACTGTTCGTTCAAGGAATTTGAGATGAGAAAAACGCCACAGTAAGAAACAAGCAAAACTTTATAGTTTTGCTTGTTTCTTACTGTGGCAAAACTTTATAGTTTTGCTTGTTTCTTACTGTGGCGTTGATCATGTAAAAAAACTACCAGTTCATCGGTGAAAATGTATTTTTAAGAAATTTATTATGAGATTATCTCACTACTCTCAAACTTGTTAAATATGACAAATACCCTTCAATAGTGCATAAAAAATGCAGACAAAGTCAACAAAAACCATTGATCATGTAAAAAAACCACCAGTTCATCGGTGAAAATGTAAGGGTATATACCTCGACAAATAATTGTTTGCCATCTACCGAAGTCCTTAATTTCTGACTTCGAGCAACACGAAAATTGTACTAAATTTAACTGATATGACAAGGATTCATTCAAAATAGGAATTTGTGTGATAAATTGCACAACTTATTATCTGCTTCACTGATAATAATGAAAAGCACTTTGCAGCAATACAAGTCATTTGAAATCACAGCCAATTTTTCACCTTTGGGAGATTTCATATCTACTTTCGCGCGTAAAAAGAAAAACATGAAATAAAGTATTTTCACATGTATCATACTAATTTGAGGCTTTAAAAAGTAAGAGCTGGACAATGAGAAATCTATCAGCTCACCGAATTTACGTCCAGAAATTCATTCATTTCATTAGTTGACTTTGTTTTGTCCAATTCAATCAAGAACTCTCGCGGAGGTTTCTCGTTTTCACTATTTTCTTCACTCTGTTCCACGCTAATTAACTTACCCAGACTGTTTAGCTCAGCAAAAAGAGGCTCCTGCAACCAACAGCAGTAAGATAATCAAAGAAATAAATGGAAATGATTTAAGCAAGTTTATAAGCATTTTGATGAAGTACCGACCGACAGAAACAATTTTAATGGGAACTCGTTAATAAAGCTACTCCTTTCTTCTCGTGTACAGCATGATAACCGGTATTATTTTTATTATACATCAATGAACGTGAAGTCTGTTCATGAGATATTTTCCAAAAAATGTCAAGTAGTTATTCAGATATTTTATAATCTAGATCTGCAGGTCTGAATTACTAAACATCTGTACAAAAACATTGATGCATATTTACCATACTTCAAAAAAAAGTATAAGCAAAATTGGAATGAAAAAAGAAACGAACTTGGAATGAAAAAAGAAACGAACTAAGTATTAAAAAAGCAGTTCAGTACAACTATGCAGTAAAATCTTCAAAAAGGAGACTTACAGCTTTAAAAATGCCATCTAATCCAAAATAATAACGGCTAACCTCCATGGATTCAATTCTAATAGGAGATAGTTGCGGAGTGACAAAAGGCTCACTGTCCAAACTAACTGTATCTCCAGCAGCAGATACAATCACCTCACGAGAGCAACGCATCATATACGCTTCTGATGTGTCTTCTTGAAGCAAGCACACCAAAATTGCAGTCATATTATCACAGCCTAAACCACCCATTTGACAATCCGGCGCCAAACACCGAGAAAGAAGGTCTTCGCAAATCTAAAATTATTTAGTATTAAACTTTTATAAACTAGATCAATGAAACTGCTACTAAAGAAAAACATAGTAAAGGATTCCAAGTGAGCAAATTTTAGTGGTTCAACCTTCGAAAACAATGTGTCATGGCGTAAAAAATTTACGGATTTTTACCTGGCTTTTTATATGACTATATAAAATAAAAACATATCAAAAAAAGGGTAGGTCTCTAGTAGCAAGAAAACTACGATTTAATAAATTCTCAGCTTTTTTTTTACACAATGGCAGTCAACTAATATTCATGATTGCATTTCCTTATCATTAATTGTTTTTTTATTTATAATACGTAGAATATTAACTTTCTGTAGAATAGAGATTAAGATAAAAAATCGCTGAAAATTGCAATAGTATGATTTAATATAAAGAATAAACACTTATTGTTTTTAGGTTTCGGAACAACAATGCATGAATCCTGAGTCGAGAAGTAAGGGTGTACATGGAAATACTTTAAAAGTTCGCTCAATAAAAAAGTATGTTCACTTATATATATATATATATA